AGAGAGAGAGAGAGAGAGAGAGAGAGAGAGAGAGAGAGAGAGAGAGAGAGAGAGAGAGAGAGAGAGAGAGAGAGAGAGAGCACAGCGGGCAAATTACCATCAATACAAAAAGAAAAACAAATGTGTAATGATACCATGATTCCACACTGGCGTCACAACATCACGAAGTCATGCTTCATCAAACAAGGCTTCACACATGAAATGCACACCAACAAAATATGAGACAACTTTTGGAATCACTCGAATATTCAAAGTCTTATACAACAAGTCTCACGTACGCACACTTGGGCAGCTATGACCACCAGAGCTCTCAGACAGCTCTCTCTCTCTCTCTCTCTCTCTCTCTCTCTCTCTCTCTCTCTCTGTTACATGCTGCGCCTGCACACGAGGGCCATTTTCCAGGCCCTGCGTCCTTCAGGCTAAAAGCCTGAAATTCAGTCTTAAAGCCTGAAATTCAGGCTTAAAGCCTGAAAACCAGGGCCTACAGGCCCCGTGACTGTTCAGCCCAAAAGCCTGAAAACAGGGGCCTACAGTCCCTGTGTCATTTCAGACTAAAAATGGCAATTGCCTTTTTAGCCTGAAACGAAGGGCCATTTTTGGTCGTTCGTCAGAACGACCGGCCCTGAAACTCAGGCACCGAACCAGGGTTTCGGGAACAGGCTATTCTTAGCCTGTTCCCACGCCAGCCTAAGCACATGCTGCAGCGCCAGCCCCTGGCACACTTCGGCATTGGCAAGAGCAGCCTCCTCGGCCTGGCTCGCCCTTCAGGCAGTCAGGAGGCAGGCTGAGGTAGTACATAGGGACTTCCCATGCACTTCACGGGCAGGCAGGAGGCAGTAGTCTTCAGGATTTGGCCTCAGCACTCTGGAGGGAGCGATGCAGGGAGTAGTAGTAGCGTTAGCCTTTAGTCTTCAGCGCTGGGCGCAGCAGGTAGCTGTAGTCTCCAGCGCTGGGCGCAGTAGGTAGCTGTAGTCTCCAGCGCTGGGCGCCATAGCTAGGATAGCACTAGAGAGAGAGAGAGATTGGGCGGAGGCCTTGGGTACCTACCTGCAGCGCAGTTGCTTCAGCTTCGTCTTCGAGGTACCTGCAGCACAGCGCCAACATCACAGGTTAGTATCTGGCTCGTAACAGAGAGAGAGAGTTCTTCTTCTTCCTCTTCTCAGTCCACCATCTCCCTCTCACCCTCTCATCATCTGACTTCACTGCATCTGCAGACTAC